TAATTCGAGCTCGGTACCGGCTGTTTTTTTTTCTATTTTATAAGAAAAATAAATTAAAGATTTATAAGAATTACACAAAATTTGACAGAAACAAACGAAAAAATAAGAAAAAGGCAAAAATTCAATAAATGTTGAGGTACTGTATTAAAGGCGCGTGCAATAATTTGAAAAATACAGTAGAGTTCTCAGCATACCCTTTTAAAAAAAGCAAAAAAGAAATTGCCCTGAACCAGGATCGAACTGGTGACCTTTAGATCTTCAGTCTAACGCTCTCCCAACTGAGCTATCAAGGCAGACAAGAGAGAGGAGCGAGAGTGCGTATAAGAAGGGGCGGGTTATTGGGTCGTGGAGACGCAGAGAAAAGCACGCCGAACTTTTTTCTTCCCACAAACGTGCCCTCCTGAATAGATCAAGTCTACTGATAGCAATTCCGCATAAAAGAAGCCACAAGTAAGCCAAAATAAACAATCAATAAATCGATTGTGAGAAGAGAAATGCCGAACCCAGCGCCGAAAGAAGATACATGGGCGTTTCAGCCGATTGGAGCACCGTTCCCGCCGAGTCCCGTCAAGTGTATGGGCGAGCAGAACATGTACGTCGCTCTGTGGTACAAACACGGAAAACCGATTCATGGACGTTCGTGGAACAACGGTGGAGTTGTCGAGTGCTCGTTCCCGTACAAGCAAGCCGAGTTGACCACCAAACAACAGTTGGAGGGACAGATCCAGGTGTTGCAGTATGTTGGAGACCATAATGATCAAGGTGAGGGTTACTGTAGTCTAGATGAACCTAGAGGATTTGGTCTTGAGCCTTTAAGCTTGTCCCAGCTTTGCCCCAATTCTCTAATTTGTCCTTTCTCACCCAATTCGCCTTAAATTATTTATTACTTGCCAATGCTTGCCCTAACTTGCCTCAACCTTGCCCTCTATTCTTTAGGCTTTAGGTTCCAAGTTCAGGGTGTGCTAGGGTTACTGTAGTTTGAATAAGTCACTGTAATTTAGATGTACAAGTTTTGCCAAGTTAGGTTTGCTTTGATTTTGTCCAAGGTTGAGCTTTTAGGCTTTAGGAACTCCAGATTTGACCAGAATGCCCTACCTTGTCCTAACTTGTCCAACTTGCCTCTAACTTGCCCCAACTTGCCCTAGATTGCCCGCAATTCGTCCTACATTGTCCAGCTTGCTCTAACTTGCCCTGAATTGTTCTAGGTTGCCCCAAACTGCCTTTACTTGCCCCATCTTGCCCCAAATTTGCCATATCTTCTCTCTAACGTGAACTATATTGCCCTTTCCTTGCCCTAACCTTGCCCTTCCTTGTCTAGCTTCAGGTTCATGGTGTACCAGGGTTACTGTAGTCTAGATGAGCCTGGGGGCAAGTTGGACCGATTTTGACCCCGGCTTGCCCTACCTTGTCCGTTCTTGCCCTAACTTGCCCAAGATTTACATAACTTGTCCTAACCTTGCCTTACCTTGTCCCAGCTTGCCCAACCTTACCCAGAACCCTCCAACTTCCTCTATTTTTCAGGTTTCTGGTATGAGTGGATCAAGTACAAGGACCGCATCGAGAAGCTCGACGACAAGCACCAACTCGTCCGCTGTGGAGACTCCTTCCCGATCTTCTGGAAGCGCGCCGAAGGAAATCTCCTCGGATACGTTGACAACAAGACCGAGGAAGCTTGGTTCTCGTTCAACGGAAAAGTCATCAAACAGCTGGGACCCCAACTCAATGACATGTACATTATCACCCGTAACTGCATCGGTGGACCGCCAAGTTGTACTTGCGCCGCCTGTGGAGGACAGCCACGTGGACCGAAGGTTGTGAGAGATGAATGGATGGACATTCGTGAGGGAGACGCTTGGCCAACCAACAAGCAGCTGGTTCGTGCGTTGGACAAGTCGCTGGACACGTTGCCGGGTGTCGCTGCCGATCAATATGTCGCACTTTGGTACATGCAAGGAGAGCCGGTGATGGGACGTGTTTGGAATGAGGGTGGAAAGGTGAGTGTGGGAGATGAGGTCTCATCTTGGCCTAACCTTGCCCAACCCCTTGTCTAAATTAGGTGTGCATGAGGTTGCCCTATATTTGTCCTTGATTGTCCTAGATTGTCCTAGATTGTTCTAACTTGATCTATCTTACAATATTACAGTGTTAGTCTAAATTGTCCTATCTTCCCCAAGCTTGCCCTAAACGTGCCCTATCTTTTCTAGTCTTGCTTTATTTGGCCTAGATTGTCTTACCTTTTCTCAACTTTTCCTACTTGCCCAATGTGTCCTAACTTGCCCTATGTTAGCCTAGATTGCTCTATCTTGTCTCTTGATTGGCCAAATTTTCCCTAAGTCTTGCATATTTCCCTTGCTTGGTTTTGAGCTGCCCTCGGTTTAAAAAAACTGAAAAATATGAAAATTAAGAAAATTCCAAAATCGGAAATTTTGAAATTCAAAAAATTCAAAAATTCAAAAAATTCAAAAAATTTAAAAAATTTAAAAAAATTTAAAAATTTAAAAAATTTAAAAAATTTAAAAAATTTAAAAAATTCAAAAAATTTAAAAAATTCAAAAAATTCGAAAATTCGAAAATCATTGTCTGGCTTTCCCTAGCTTGTCCTTCTCTGACCCAGCTTGCCTTAACTTGCCCAATCTGTCCGATACCGCCTTGGTTTGCCGCAACTTGTCCCAACTTGCCCTAAACTTGCCCAACCCTCATTTTCATCCTTCCAGATTGCTGCCAACTTCTCCTGGTTCAACAACGAATACTGCAAGAATGTCGGATCCATCCAACTCCTCGTCCACCTTCCAGACACTGTTCGTGGCTACGACTACGGTTGGATTCCATTCCCAGAGGCTGCCAAGTTCGGAGACAAGGAATGGCACCCGGTCCATGTCAACAACCACAAGGGAGACATCTCTGTCGGAGTCGTCAACGTCGCCGGAGGAAAACAGATACTCGCCAAGGTCGACGTCCGTAACGAGTCGTACGGATATGGTTACCAAGGAAAGGAGGTGTCTGCTCGTGGACCGGCTTGCGCTTCCAGCACCATTGTTCTCTGCCGTAAGGCCAAACCAGGACACAAGTTGGACGGATAAAGAAGAGAGAAGCGACGCGAAAACACACGAAAAAGGACGGATGATTTTATTCGCTTCTTTTTGTTTTTTTTTAATGAGAAGAATGAAAGATACTATTGAACTTGTGCTGATGTTTATTTTTTGTCTGTATCTCTATGGGTTTTCAAGATATTCAAATTATGTAAACTACAAAAATTAAGTTTATCAAATTTTACATATTTTCATAGTTGGCTACTTTTGATATCTTTTTTAGTTTTCGAGATATATCTTTAAAGTTTGGCGCCGAAACGCAGAGAGCCACGAACGTCTAGATGTCTGCGCTCTCTTCAAACGCCTGTATCTCGTCTAGTTTTAAAGATTTTTAAATTTTGTAAACCGCGAAAATAAAGCTTGTAAATTTTCAGACAATTTGTCAGTTGACAACTTTTAAAAAGAAATTTGGTTCTTGAGATATGCGTCTTTGAAGTTAGGCGCCGGACAGCAGTGAACCAGCAGTCTCTAGATGTCTGCGCTCTCTTCAAATGCCCGTATCTCTGCTAGTTTTGAAGATGTTCAAATTTTGTTAACTACAAAAATGAAGCTTTTTGAATTTTACACATTTTTCTGATTTTCAACTTTTTGATAACTTTTATGGCTTTTGAGAAATGCGCCTTCAAAGTTGGGCTCCGAAAAGCAGGGAACCAACAGCGCCTAGATGTCTGCGCTCTCTTCAAATGCCTGTATCTCTGCTAGTTTTGAAGATGTTTAGTTTTTGAAAACTACAAAGTTAAAGTTTATAGAATTTTGCGCATTTATAAATTTTCAACATTTTGATAGCTTTTGAGGTATGCGCCTTTAAAGTTGGGTCGCCCAAGCTCAAGAAGCTGAGAGCGTCTAGATGTCTGTGCTCTCTCCAAATGCCCGTATCTCTACCAGTCTCAGAGATATCCAAATTTTTTAAACTACAAAAATGAAGTTAATAAAATTTTACACATTTTGTTAATTGAGAAATCTTTTCTAGCGTTTTTAGTTTGTGAGATATTTGAGCTTAAAAAATCGAATTATGCAAACATTCACTTATCATATATGAAATGATAAAATACACACAATATTTCTTAGAAAAATGCTTAAAACTTTTGTTGGAGAATGCAGGTGCTACACAGTAACCAAAAATGAATAAATTCAAAAGTACAGTAATCCTAATGGGGTACGGTACCAACGTTATCCGTGATAAATGGCACATTGAGATAGTCGCGGAGCCAGACTTGCTCTTCATCGTTGTTGCTCGTCCAGCCGGCGACGTAGATGTTGTTGGAGGCGGCGTCGGACTTCAGGAATCTGCTGATATCATTAACATGATAAAAGATGACGTCAGATCCCAAGAATTTGGGCATTAGGAGACTGCGGGCCAGTCCAAAAACCAGGACATCCAAAACCTGAGCAATCGCATTCAGAGCTCCAGTGAATCTTGGAATTGTCGCAGATTCGTCAGTGGTGCTTAGTTCCCAGCTTCTCCATGTGAATCCTGCAATAAATTGTAAGTTATGCGCCTTTAAAGTTTGCACACTCTGCGTCTCTGTTCCGTTCCGGGCTGTTCCGGGCTCTGTGTTGCAGCGCGTCATCTGTTTAAAAGCACATAACTCATGAAAAATTAAAAATGAGCAATTTTTGAACATTTGCATCTTGTAAAGCATAAAATGTCCCACAGTTTCTTAGTTGACGAAATTTTCAAAGTTCTTATGGTTCCTGAGTTACCCGCCTCTTCTTAATCTGCACATTTCTGTGGTTCGCAGTGAAGCTAACTTTAAACGCGCATATCTCAAAAACTACAAAAGCCATCAAAAAGTGTCCAACTATGAAAATGTGTAAAATTTAAAAATCTATATTACTATAGTTGACAAAAAATTTTTATTTTTCTTGGTTCACAAGTTATGCTCCTTTGAAGTCACTTTGCTCTTTGGATCCACATGGTGAATCGTCCATGAGCAAAACCGATCATAACTCGGTCAGTTTTGGTTCAAAAAGTTTGAAAACTAGATTTTCAAAATCAGCGTAAAAAATCGATCCAGTTTTCTTACCTGTCAAAATCTTGGGGTCCGCCAATTTCACCTTATAGACATCGATTGGATTGAATCCGGATACTAGAACTTTCGAGTACAAATTATGGGTTCTAATTTGAACTACAAATTGTTTCAAAAGATTCTCATCGACATTCTTTACATCCCAAATCATCATAATATTATTGGCTACACAATGAGCGACGGCTTCTTCAAACGTTGGCAGCGAGACGTTGGTGTTGAGGAATCGGAGGGCACGGAATTCGGTGATGTTCATTGAGGAGATATCCTTGTCCACTCCGGTCACACGAACTGCAAAAATTAAGAATTTTTCTTGGAATTTCGAAATTCCGGAAAAATTTAGGATTACAGTCGGCGTGGAAGCTATAAAAACCCTATTATCTTTGCCCCACTTTATCTCGGTCGCTATGAAAGATATCGAAAAGTAATCAACTGATAAAATGTGTAAAATTTTATGGCAAATGTTTTATCAGTTGGTTACTTTTTGATATTTTTCACAGGAATTGAGATATATGAAGTTGTAAGAGGTCGCAAGCTTTTCGCCTCAAAGAGCCCCGACGAGCGCAGAGAACTAAGCGGCGCGTCGCCGGCGGCTCCGTATGGCTGTCAACTTTAAGCTGCTATATCTCGGTTACTGTAAGAGATATCAGAAAGTTGTCAACTAATATAATGTTGCTGATAAGGTGATAAATATTTTACTGATTGACAACTTTTTGATATCGCTTACAGGAAACGAGATAAATTGGGTGAAAGTTGAAGGACACATTAGCAACATGCTGCATATGAAAAAACTACCGTATTCCAGCCAGCTTTTGTCAAAACGGTTTGGAACCTAGATTCTCAAAATCAACGTAACAATTCTGTCAAAATGCATTCAATAATCCAAATTTTCAATATCAATCGAAATTTCACCTATTTGGAATAAAATATAGTGCATCGTCTATATACAAAAACTACAGTATCTCAGACAGTTTTTGTCCAAACGGTTGAAAACCTAGATTTTTTGAATCAGCGTGTAAAAATGCAAAAATTCTGCCAAAATGAATATAATATTCTTATATTTAGAGTCTAAATTTTAGATAGAAACCGCATCTGTCTTCTGTTGGGATCCCATAAGACCCGTTTTACTTTGACTCAATTTATCTGAATTTCTGTGAAAGGTATCAAAAAGTAGTCAACTAACAAAATGTTGTTAATAATCTGATAAACATTTTGACAATTGATTATTTTTTGATATCTTTCACAAGAAACGAGATAATTTAGCTCAAAGTAGACCTCCTTCCTACCTGTATTCGCATCATGACAAATCACCGGAACGCCATCCTTTGTAATCTGAATATCCATCTCAGCCAACTGTCCTCCTTCCTTCTTCACTGCTGAAAACGCTTCCAGACTATTCTCCGGTATATCACCATGTGCACTTCCACGGTGTCCTCCAACTTTCCACGTGGCAAAGAACTCCTGACGATGTGCTTCAGTCTTCTGAAGTTGGGGGATTCTGAAGATGAAGAATGCGAGCATCACAGCAAATGGAAGGAAGAAAATGATGGCGAGGACGACTCGAATTGTCTTGTATTTCAGGGCGAGAAGGGTTAGGAGATAGAAGAATCCGACGATCAGAATCCACGCGACGAAGGTTAGAAGATCCATGTTTACCTGGAAAAATGGGAAAATTAGGATTTCAGAATTTCAGAGTTTCAGAATTTCAGAGTTTCAGAATTTCAGAAACTCAGAAACTCAGAAACTCAGAATTACAGAATTACAGAATTACAGAATTTCTGAATTTCTGAATTTCCGAATTTCTGAATTTCTGAATTACAGAATTACAGAATTACAGAATTACAGAATTACAGAATTACTGTATTACAGAATTACAGAATTTCAGAAACTCAGAAACTCAGAATTTCAGAATTTCTGACTTCTGAATTTCTGAATTTCTGAATTTCTGAATTTCTGAATTTCTGAATTTCTGAATTTCTGAATTTTTGAATTTTTGAATTTCTGAATTTCTGAATTTCTGAATTTCTGAATTTCTGAATTTCTGAATTTCTGAATTTCTGAATTTCTGAATTTTTGAATTTTTGAATTTTTGAATTTCTGAATTTCTGAATTTCTGAATTTTCAAAAGAATCATGAAACTTTTCGAAAAGTTGCCGAAAGTGTCAAAAATGGGAAAGACATAAATACTGAAAAAAAATCCGATCGGAAAAATCAAAATCATTTCTCAGACTTTATCTATCCCATTTTTATGATTTTAGAACTTTTTCCAGGCAGGAAGTGACGAAAAAAAATCCAAGAAAAAAATGAAAAAAAAAAATGATCAGGATCAAAAAATCCAACACAAAAACTATGCTTTCCCGAAATCTCCTGATATTTTGATGCCCCCAAAATTGTTCAAGTGGAAAAAAAAGCAGAAGAAAAAATTGTGACACCCAAATAACTTTAAAAATCTCATGTATCAAGTTTTGGTCCCAATGATCTTGACATCGGGACACACAGAGGGACAGATGGAAAAACAGGCTATCCCTAACTTTGACCTAATTTATCTCGGTTTCTGTAGAAGATATCAAAACGTTGTCAACTAATAAAATGTTTGTGATAATTTGATAAATATTTTGTCAGTTGATAACTTTTTGATATCTCTTACAGTAACCCGGATAAATTGTTTTAACCCGACGTTTCGGAACCCGACAGTTCAGAACCCGACGTTTCAGAACTTTTCTGCATTTTTGTATAGTGGTTTTTGCGCACCAGGTGAGCATTGCTCATTTCAATTTTGTGTTTTTCTGCTTTTTTTATTCATTCTCATCTACCGTACTCCAAATAATGATAGGTTCACACTGGGTATCTCTCAAAAAATCGAAAAAAAATGAACTATTCAAAAACGATGTCTAGAAGTACGCAATAATTTTTCCGGCGAATAGAAGTCTCATTTTGAATGGTTTTATTAATGACATCGTTCTTGAAAAGTTCAATTTTTTGGATTTTTTGAGAGATTCCCAGTGTGAACCTATCATTATTTGGAGTACGGTAGATGAGAATGAACAAAAAAGCAGAAAAACACAAAATTGAAATGAGCAATGCTCATCTGGTGCGCAAAAACCACTATACAAAAATGAAGAAAAGTTCTGAANCGTCGGGTTCTGAACTGTCGGGTTCTGAAATGTCCAGAAGCCGAAAAGTTTCATTATTTTTAATTGAAAGTGCAGTGTCACTATCGAAAAATAAGGTCAAATCTTAATTATTTCCTAAAAACACAAAAAGAAATTTGAGGGTGGTACCAGGGATGAGAACTCGGAAAATGAGAACTGCTACATATGAGAACTCGTACGAATAAGAACACGGATTTTTTTTGTTGGAAAATCTTGAAGTATTGTGAAGAACGAGACCATTTCGAAAATATTTTTCAAAAAGGTTGGACCCTGAGCCTGAAATTAGAGAGCCGGAAAACGAGTTCTTATTTGTCTAGTTCTCATATGTAGCAGTTCTCATTTTCCGAGTTCTCATCCCTGGTACCACCATTTTGAGCTGAAAATCCAAAAAGTCTAAAAATCTGAAATTCCAAAAAGTCTGAAAATCCCAAGCACAATTTTTTATAAGTGTGAGAAATGTATTAATAAGTTGTTGATACTGAAGTTAGTCCACAAAAACCTAGAATATTCAAAGTTTTGAAGCCAAAAACTCAAAATTCCGACTTTCAAAGCTAAAAACTTCCAAAACTGTTCAAAAAAAACCAAACTTGTGCCAACAGTTCATACATGAAAAATTCTAATTCATAGCCAGAAAAAGGGTATTTATATACCAAAAAATTTGCATATTTTCAATACAAAATAAAAGGAACTATAACCAAAATCGTTTTTTTTTCAATTTTCAAAAGAACAACTTTTTCAGGAGGAGACAAAACAAAAAAATGGACTCAAAAATCTAAAATCAATCGGTTCAAAAACCAAAAAATTGTGAAGAAAGTTCTTTTTTCAGCCAAAAAAGTTTTAGTCTGAAAATTTCTTTCCGAGGAATTATGCAAATTTTTGACTAAAAATGAACTAAAAATGTACTGTCTAGACTGGAAATTTAAGTTTTAAATTGAAAAAAAATGAGGTCGAAAGTTCAAAATTTTGATTTTTTTTGGATTTTCAGAGTTTTGAAATTTTTTTTCGAAAATCTGAAAATGACGGAAAAATTGAATGGAAAACAAAAACTTTGTGAGTCACAAATCCCAAAAAAAGTTCAAAAAAATTTTTCAGATTTTCAAAAATCCTGGAAATTTCTCACACAAAATTCAATGAATTCAATTTTTTTAATTAATAATTTCCAGGTTTTTATCATTAGAGCGCACTTGCCGAAAATATTTCAATTCCAAAAATTTCCCAAAAAAGGTTCAACCTACATTTTTCGATTTTGTGGCCACTTTTTGAACACTGAAGGTGTCATGGATCTCCTCCTTCGTCAGATGGCTTAATTGGAAAATTTCCCGCCCAAATAGCTGGAGTACTGTACCCAAAATTATCGAGTAGAGCGTTCCGGACCACATCTTTATGCTGAAATTTTGAGAGAAAAACTGTAAGAATTCAAAGAAAAAAAGAGAAAAAATAATATAAAATCATTTGGAAAATCTAAAATTTCAGCTTCCAAAAACTGCCTGATTTCTCTCTTATCACCACTAATTTTATACTGGAAAATTAGTTCCCAAAAAAAAAAATTTTTTTGGATCATAAAATTCTAGAAGTTTCAGATTCTCTTATCAGTGATAAAACATAGGAGGACTACTGTGAAAAAAACGGACCGTAAAATTGACATTACTTTTTTTTTTGAGAAAAAAAAGATGAAAGTGATAATGATAAGAAATGTTGAAACTGGTTTTTTGAGACTGAACTGTATAAAAAGAAATGGGAAACAAAAAATAGATCAAGAATTTTTTTCGATCTATTTTTCGAAAAATTTTGGATTACTGTAGTTATTTTTCATATTTTATTTTTCAAGGAAGTTCAAAAATAAATCACAAGGAACAGAAAACGGATTTACCTTGGAGACGCAGAGAAAAAGAAAAGTAGAGAGTATGTGATTGGAAGAGACGCAGAGAAAGAAGATAGCGTTCGGATATGTCCGGTTTGTTATCAAAGAGATAAGAGGAAGGAAGGACAAATCTAAGAATCTAAGAATCTAAGAATCTAAGAATCTAAGAATCTAAGAATCTAAGAATCTAAGAATCTAAGAATCTAAGAATCTAAGAATCTAAGAATCTAAGAATCTAAGAATCTAAGAATCTAAGAATCTAAGAATCTAAGAATCTAAGAATCTAAGAATCTAAGAATCTAAGAATCTAAGAATCTAAGAATCTAAGAATCTAAGAATCTAAGAATCTAAGAATCTAAGAATCTAAGAATCTAAGAATCTAAGAATCTAAGAATCTAAGAATCTAAGAATCTAAGAATCCAAGAATCTAAGAATCTAAGAATCTAAGAATCTAAGAATCTAAGAATCTAAGAATCTAAGAATCTAAGAATCTAAGAATCTAAGAATCTAAGAATCTAAGAATCTAAGAATCTAAGAATCTAAGAATCTAAGAATCTAAGAATCTAAGAATCTAAGAATCTAAGAATCTAAGAATCTAAGAATCTAAGAATCTAAGAATCTAAGAATCTAAGAATCTAAGAATCTAAGAATCTAAGAATCTAAGAATCTAAGAATCTAAGAATCTAAGAA